AAAAAAACCCTGCATATGTCTCAATTTTACGCCAATTCAACCTTCAAGGTAAAGGATACCAAAGCAAACAACTTAGCCACTTAAAGATATGGTCCAAGCTTGAGAAGTATGGCTATGATAATTTGATATCTTTGTTTGCTATGTTCTCTCCAGAATAATGAAGTATAGTCGTGGAAATCTATTTCGACTATCAACGATTCTCAAATAATAGTCGCCAACAGCTTTAGAGATCCATAAAAACCTGGGCTGGTACACAATTGTAGTCCTAAATTGTCTCCACTTCGTTGAATTGTTGGAGTGGAGGGGTCATACAACTCCCAAGGCCTAATTCCAACTGTCTGAATTGAGGCATGGAAGGGAAGCCGGCTGCTCAGCGATGCCATTCATAGTTTTATTTAAATGCCTAAATAAATTAATTCCCTAGTAGATAGGACAGCTACTTTGTCCTTCTCTTTTGATGAGTTTATCTTTCTTTAAGTTTAATCAAATCGGCAAAACCAGCTCGTCTATGCTCTTAAAAATCGAAGTGCTTATGTCCTTATCTGGAATTCTACAAACTAGGGATATTGAATTAAGAAGGATTAGTACAGCTCAAAAAGAGCAAAATTTGGCCAGAATAAGTTGCCAGCTCATAGTTTTGACATTTTTCGGTATTTTACATATTATCTAAGTACGTCTTAGCATTAATTTCTCATTTGGCAGTAGATCGGCACTTAGATTATTCACGTTCACTTGTATTTAATTTGAGATAGGCCACAGTTTTTAGCTCTAATAGAAATCAAAACTTTCAGGGAAATTGAGTGATTGAGCTATGATGAGGGCAATAGTTGATACAAGTGCTATATAAGGAATGTGTATATCAAATATGCCACTGATATAAGCCTTCTTACACTGTTTTGACGCCTGACAGCCTAGCCAATGGCTGCTACTTTCGTTGTTTGTCCGACAAGCTTGCAGAAGTCCTCACCCTTATTGTAAACACTTCCAAATGAGATTCACTTCTATTTTTGTCCAATAGATCTTTAGAGATTACAATTTTCGTCTCAAGAAAAGCTATTTCGTTCATCATATGCGATGCATTTTTATAGCTATTGGTATCGCAGCATTTATATTTATGTATATGTTCCTATATTATAAAATGTCAATGGTTCTTATATCACTTTAAGTCTTGCAATTCTAGTTGTATTTCAGAGATACCGATATCGGTTTAAGGCGTAGAGTTTATGCACCAATGTCTAAGTAGCCCGATTATGATTGACTTGGGGTTAGTGAAACTGGTGCTAGAAGCTACAAAACGTAGACGTGCCTTTGTATATAGAATGCACCACTTTTAGTCATTATATAGCTATCGGTTAATCACTTCAGTACGTATTTATTGCTTATGATAACGCAACACTTGACTCAAAAGTTAATTTGAGATTGTGGGAAAAATCCTCAGCTATATGATTTTAAAGTATCCTCTGACCAAGACCAATAGTAGCATAAACTGATCATTTTCATTAATGCACTTTTCCCCAGATTTCTGCACTAAATGCTTTAAGTTCGTACTAAGGTCCCTGATAGAATATCGCTTGATTCACCACGCATGTGGAAATCTTATACCAAAAAAATCCTTGAAAAATTGTTCCTTTATATTGACAAATACACAACTCTTTGGCTTTTTCTTTTTGCTTATATTTTAGTACAGTCACACAGAGCTATACTTCCTAATTCTTTTGACTCATTATTAAATTTAGTTATTACAATGCCACGCTTCTACTACATTCTCCAATAAGCAGAAATAGCACTTCAATAAGCTTTGTTTTTCTGAACGCTACTTATTGTTATGATATTATGTTAAATAAAATGTTCCTCTATGATTTTTCAAGAGTAATCACTGAGTATTTCAAAATATCCTCTCGCATAAAGAAGTGGGTTGACCTCGTTGCCGCAACTTGGTCTTGTTGTCAGGGAGAGTATGTAGAACCCATCTAGTCCGAAGTCGTCTGCCATAGTAGTTTTCATGATACCCAGCACCTGACAGTGGACTTGACACCAAGACCAAGTTGCGACAACGAGGTCAACCCACTTCTATAAATCGAAAAGAGACTGCGACCATAACAGAAACCACAACATCTTGGTCTTCATATACGCTCTCTTAAAGTTTACGATTGCGAAAAGGAAATGTGAACCTCTGTAAGATTGGATTTCTTCTTTTTTCTAACCTTTAGGTATGCATGGGCTTTGAGTGGCGAGTAGGAGCCGACATGACCTATCCTTAATTGTTGATTCGCCAGTCACAACTGACTAATATTTTCATTTCACAACTTCATTTAGTATTTATATTTATATATATTTACTTATTTATTCATTTATTCCTGGCACTGCATTCAAAAGTACCAGCTATTTCCCAAAATTTATTTCGTCTTCCTAAAGCACTTCCTTATTTTGCTTCCCTATCATAGGTGTCTGGCCAGTCGTTGGACAGCCTCAATCGTAACGCAACTATTCCAATGCTCAAGGGATCCGTGCTTTATTTTCGTTCCGTGCGACTAGAGCATAACAGCGCTCAGGTAACCTGCGAGGCAAAGAATGCACTGGGCAGCATTCAAGCCAGCGCTCGTCTTGAAGTATATCCGGACGAGTCAAGTAAGCCGCGTCTAAGACTATGATTCCGAATTGACTTCGTCTTGTCTCTTAATTTGTAAACATATTTTGTTTGTTATATT